GTGTTTGGGGCTGGGGAGGGGGGTGTCTGTTTGTTTGGGGGGGTTTGTGCAGGAAAACAAAACCCAAACACTTTTCTGGTTCCTGACGTGGGAGCGAGCTGCTTCCAGCATGGAGCTGCATTTGCCCAAAGCAGTGATGAGTGAAGTTTGCTCTGAACTGGTATTGCTGAGGCTTCGTGTCTTTGCTCTGACCAGGGCATGATCACGTAATCTTCTCTCTGAGCTTACTTAGGCTAAGCTCATCTAGAGGCAACAGCTTTGCTCCTTCTTGAAACTTCCTGATGCACCCTAAAAATACGGGGGAAATACCAGGAAATTCTAGTTCTCTCTTCTCCCGGCAGAGAAGGGAGCTGTGCAAATCCGTGTTTGGGTTTGAGTATCTTGCTGCAACACTGGGGTTAGTGCTGAGCTCGCAGGGAGAGGGGTTTCTGGTTCAGTCTGTGTGTGACCCAGCTGACAAAACTGCAGAGCCTCGGCCACTGCCTCTTCCCTGTTTGTCAGTGCAACGCGGAGCCTGTAAAACAGTTTGAGCTGCCTGGCCTGGGGCCACCTCGCTGGGAGCTGGTTCAGCTCCGTTCTCACCTGGCGCTCGCCAGCACGGAGGCAGGACTGTTTGTGGAAGCGAGTCCTGGGGCTGGGCCTGGCTCTGACACGGGGCTCGGGATGAAGCGCAGCCCTTCTGGGCATCAAGCAAGTAGAGGCAAGGATAGGGAGCTGTTTGCTCATCGAGTTTCTGCTCTCTTCCAGGACCTGGAGACAGCTTTACGTTCATTTCTCTTCCTGAGGAGAAGGAAGCTTCTGTGGGGAAGACGTACCGAGGAGTGTAGTTGCAATGGTTTTCTCTTAACAGGAGAAGCCACGTGGTTTCTGTTAAGGAAGCGGGGAAAGCACCCCAGGTGCCAACATGCTGATTTTGGGAAGAGCACGAAGCATCCTGAAAGCACAGCTGATACGTGACCGTATGGAGGTCACCAGTTGGTACGTACGTCCCAAGGCTGGTTTAATAAAGCTGATGTGCTTTGAAAAAAGTCTTTTCTGGTCTGTCTTGAGAGCATCGTGGCTTTGATAACAGTTAAAAAGACAAGTGGGAGCGTTTCTGTCGTAACCCAGATGGGTTTCACAAGTTCCTTGTAGAGCAGTGAACCCGCGGGGCGGGTGTTGTTTGGCTGCGGGTGAGAGAGCCCGGCAGAGCCCAGCGGGCGTCCTGCAGCCCTCGCGGGAGCTCTGAGCCCCTCACCCCTGGGGGCTGTCAGCCAGGCAGGCCTGGGGGAGCAGCTCAACGTTCAAGAGAGGAATCGCAGCAGTTGGGAGCCGCCAGGCTGAGGCGCGGGTGGGTCTGTGCCGGTCTCAGAGTTGCGCAGAGTCGGCCGAGCCTCGGTGGGGCAGGGCCAGGGGGCTGCGCAGCCGCAGTGTGGGGGCAGCCGGGGCTTGGCAGCCGATCTGGGGACAGGAGGAGAGATTAACCCCGGGAGAAAGAGGCGGGGAGGCCCCAGAGCAGCGTTGTTGCCGCTGCTCAGCGTTACTGAACCCTCCCGGAGCCCAGGGAGAACGGTGGAACTTGCCCACGAGCCCTACGGTGCTGGCGGGGGGTCAGCATGGTCAGGCTGGCACAGGGGTGCCCAGCTCCTCGCCCAGCAGCACACGGGTCACTGGGGAACTGCCGGGAGGATAAAAGGAAAAGAAACCTACCCCGAAATGGAACCGGCAGTCAAGTCTTTCAGCTCCTACTTAAATGAGCGGCTGCACTGGAGCCAACACGATCAGGCCTGTGGGTGTCAAATCAGACGGGTCTCGGGGAGACTGTTGAGCACCCTCGACGCTGGTCTTCCACGGAGATGATGATCTCTGCACATGAAGCAAACCCAAGGTGGCAAGTGAGGTGAATTAGTATCTGGCCCAAAGCCAGCTCTGTTAGAAGTTACTCGAAATCTCAGAAAATCGCACACCGGGCTGCGATTTCTTTTCCACTAAGGTGTGTGTGCTCTTACTGGCTTCCTGAAGGGAGGGAGGGGTCTTCATGGGTTCCAGAACTACAAGAGAAGGAGAAATGCGACTGTTTTTATTACTGTTCCATGGTGGCATAGCTAGAAGTGTCTAGAAGTTGGATAAAGGCAGCAAGACAAGCGCTGGGGACAGATCCACTTGGTCACAGTAGGTATTTTGCAGAGCATCTCTGGGAGGATGCAAATCACTGTATATTCCCCACCATTCAATACCTTTGCTATCTTGCTTCCAGGCGAGGGGGGATATGAGAGATTTTTATCTGCTGCAGCAGAACTAAGGTGGGAGGAGGATGAGATGGCTGGTTTGGTGCAGTAAATGTCTGTTTGCCCTTGGTGTGGCAAACTCTGCTCCTCAGGCTCTGTAAGCGAGTCACCGTGAGGCCTGGGGTAGAGAACTGCTGCTCCCTAGAGCCGAGCCAGGAAAAAAACCTGTCACGAAACATCAGGGGTGGAGCAAGACCCAGCCGTAAGGTCACAGACATTTTCTTTTCTCCTCCGTTCTGTTAGGATATGCACATGCCACGTGGCTGGGACCAGGATAACTTCACTCTAACACTTAGACACAGACAGTAAAGACTCTCAGTCGACAAAATACTTATTTCCATTGTCATCATCGGCAAAGATAAGGGGGACCAAACTGAAGCTGCTTTATGTAAACAGAGCCCCTAGAGGAGCAAGCTCTGCTTTGCCAATAACCTCAAAAGAATTGAGTCAGGGCCTGAATCAGGAAAGAACTTTGCGTTATAAAAGCAGACAGTAACAGATTCAAAGATTTATTGAACAAAAAGCAACTCCCATCATTTGGCACGGCCACTGCTTTATTCTGGTTTGTCATATTTTCTCTCATGTGGAAAATACAAGGTCCCTCTTGTATCCTTGTCCGCACACGTCCCCTCTTGTTCCTTTAAAGAGTCAGGGTCTCAATTCCGAACTGTTGATGGGAACGAGGGGTGTGATGTTCTCAATTCAAAGGTGAGAAGCCTGGAAATGAGACTTAAGAACAGCCTGTTCCGAGGAGAGGTTTAAGCCCTTTGACAAGTACCTGTGCCAGAGCTCGCCCTGGGCAGCTGGTAAAGGAGGAAAAACTCCCCCAGAGAATTTTCCCCACCTCTGTCATTTGCCGGCTCTTGGCCTTTTACCAGCGATGCTCCTGGAGCCTCGCATCCGCATTGTTCTTGTCCTCATCAGTGTTTCTTCCCTTTGGGTTGTCCTTTGAAGGCGGTGCTGTGCCGGCAGGCTGTGGCCGTCCGATCCTTCGGAAACTCTCGCAGGACATTTGCGCAGCTCATCGGCACCGGGGGGAGCCTCACCAGAATTAGCCCAGGCAGCAAAGCCCGACGTGCTGCCAAGCTCGGGGGAGCCCCAGCGCTCACTGAGGAGCTGCAGTGGCCCAAAGGTTTCTGGCGGGCGTAGGGGGCGAATTTTGTCTCGCCGCTACCCAGCCGCTCGCCTCCGAAAGCCCCAGGCAGGCCCCTCAGCTCTCGGGACAGTACAGCTTGACGAGGTGCTGCAGCTCGGTGGCGTAGCCCGTGACCGGGCAGCGCTGGTGAGCCTTCACGTAACCGTACGCGCAGCGGTAGCAAAACACGAAGCCGGAGGTGGACAGGGCCGTGGCGTTGACGCGGATTTTGCGGCACAGAGGACACACCGTCTTCAGCTTGGGTAAGAGAGCCGAGGCGGCCCCGCGGTCGAGGTGCACGGGGGGCGGAGGAGTTGGGAGCGCCGTCAGAGATTTGATGGTCTCCTGGTTTTCCGAGGAGTACCACCAGTCCAGGAACTGGAGGAAGAACACGCTGACGGAGAGCCCGGTGGACAGGGAGAAGGCGATGCCGCCCAGCGCCCTCCTCGCCACTGACCACACTTGTGCTTTAATGCTGCAGAA